GTGTTGTGCTTCAGCACCTTCGCCAACGCCACGGCGCCCTCATCGCCGATGGAATTGTCCCACAGGCTGTCAAGATGATGTGGTGGATGCCACACAGGGGGATGATGCCACATGGGTGAGGAAGTGCGTGAGTGAGTGATGATGATTGCTGTGGATGGCAACACAGTCATCAATCCACACATGGGCACGTGATAAAGGTGCAGCGGCAGTGACGCAGCATACATGTGCATGTGTGCGTGTACACACTCACCCGAGCAATGTCATGGTCGTGTTGTGCTTCAGCATCTCCGCCAACGCCACGGCGCCCTCAGGACCGATGGAGTTGTATTGCAGGCTGTCAAGATGATGTGGTGGATGCCACACAGGGGGATGATGCCACATGGGTGAGGAAGTGCGTGAGTGAGTGATGATGATTGCTGTGGATGGCAACACAGTCATCAATCCACACATGGGCACGTAATAAGGTGCAACAGGCAGTGACGCAGCATACATGTACATGTGTGCGTGTACACACTCACTCGAGCCATGTGAGGGCCGTGTTGTGCTTCAGCATCTCCGCCAACGCCACAGCGCCCTCAGGACCGATGGAGTTGTTCCACAGGCTGTCAAGACGGTATGGTGGATGCAACATAGGGCGATGATGCCACATGGGTGAGAAAAGTAAGTGCGTGCGTGATGATGATTGCTGTGGGTGGCAACACAGTCATCAACCACACATGTGCACGTGATAAAGGTGCAACAGCAGTGACGCAGCATACATGTGCATGTATGCATGTCCACACTCACTTGAGTCCTGTGAGGGTCGTGTTGTGCTTCAGCATCTCCGCCAACGCCACAGCGCCCTTATCGCCGATGGAATTGTTGTTCAGGCTGTCAAGACGGTATGGTGGATGCCACGCAGACGGATGATGCCACATGGATGAGGAAGAGTGAGTGCGCGCGTGATGATGATTGTTGTGGGTGGCAACACAGTCGTTGCACCCCACCCCATCAACCACACATGTGCACGTGATAAGGTGCAACGGCAGTGACGCAGCATACATGTGCATGTGTGCGTGTGCACACTCACTAGAGTTCTTTGAGGGCCGTGTTGTGCTTCAGCATCTCCGCCAACGCCACGGCGCCCTGGTTGCCGATGGAATTGCCCTCCAGGCTGTCAAGATGGTATGATGCCACACAGGGGGGATGATGTCACATGGATGAGGAAGAGTGAGCGCGTGCGTGATGATGATTGTTGTGCGTGGCAACACAGTCATCAATCCACACATGTGCACGTAATAAGGTGCAACAGGCAGTGACGCAGCATACATGTACATGTGTGCGTGTACACACTCACTCGAGCCATGTGAGGGCCGTGTTGTGCTTCAGCATCTCCGCCAACGCCACGGCGCCCTCAGGGCCGATGGAATTGTCCCACAGGCTGTGCAGGCACACAAGAACCGCAGGGAGCGACGGTGAACACACGTCCAAACATGCGCAAGCAGGGGAGGAGAAAGGGGTGCAACATGCAACACCGCCACCCCAGTCAACCATGCATGTCACACGAAGCAGATTCATCATCACCACGCACTCGAGTTCTTTGAGGCAGGTGTTGTCCTTGACCGCCTCGGCCACCGCACGCGCTCCTATGTCGCCGAGGCCAGAATTACCCAAGCTGTAATTCCAAATGGTGTGTGTCATGAAATGAGCAAGAAGACTGAGGATCGAGACAGAGCAAAACCATGAGGGTGCCAGTCCCAACCTGCCACAAACACACACACACTCTCTCTTTGTTGATGTGTCTAGGCGGTGCGAGGGGACAGGACACGCACACGTAAACACCCAACAGCAAGCCACACCAAGCTCATTGCAACACAAGGACAAGCCAAGCAGAGAGAGAGAGGAGGGGGAGAATCAGCACAAGCACAACCACAAGAAGTGTCCTTGTGGCCTAGTGTCCAACACATGCATGCATGTTCCAACACGTCGTTTTGGTTGCTTGTGCACTCACTTTATTCTCTCCCCACACGTGTTGTTGGCGATGGCTCTGATCTCTTCCTTCACCCCATCCTTCACCTTCGTCTGCGCCAGCAACGCCTCCACCTCCTCCCTCGCTCTCTTCTCTCCGCCGGACATGGCGACGGCTTTCTCCTTGTGGCTTGTTGTGACGTGTTTGTGAGCGGCTGGAAGAAGACGACGACAGAATGGACGACGCGCTGCTTTTTGTTTGTTTCCTTTGTTTTGTGTGTGTTGTTGTTTTGCGACTCAGCCATTGGACGATTCGCAAAACCTTACAGAGGTTATCCGCACAGCAGCGCTTCGGTGGAAGATGTTCGTCAACAATCTCATTCGAGCCCTCGTTGTCGACAGGAACACAACAAACACACAGGATAAAGTGCCTCCAGCCAGCCAGCCAGCAATGCAACCCCTCGCAGCGCTTTGTTGCCGAAAGGAACCACAGCCGCGCCCTCCTCGCTTGGCCTTGCCTGGTTGGTACAACACACCAATGTCTGTAGCCACATCAACACCACAAACATCACCGCCGCTCCACCATCATCACCGTCAACGGATCTCATCATCGTCATCGAGCCATTTACTGAGGAAAGAACAGGTCCGCCACACAACCCACAAACAACGCTCCCAGTCCAACACACACACACACACACACACATCCACACACACACACACACACACAGCAGTGCCCACACGCAACATGAAGCCGAGCCAACCAAACAACAGCCAGCCCCTCTGCACATCAAAACAGCACCCTCCAGTCACAAGCCAAAATCAAACACACACAGCAGCAGCAGCAGCACACATCAACCAAACACAACAAGAACGTGTTCAGCCGTACACAGCGCCAAACAATGAAAAGAACAGGCAAGCACAAGAAGGGCGTGACATCAGCAAGCAAGCAGGCAGGCGAGAAGGAGAGTGAAGGAAGGGAAGAACAGAAGAGAAGAGAAGAGAAGAGAAGAGAAGAGAGCAAGAAACGGAAACAAGAGGATGAGGAAGCGACAGACATTCAGCCATTCGTCCAACTGGTGCACAAGTTGACACGACACACGACAACATGGCGACTACGCGGATGAGCTAAGTGCCTCAACAGCGCGCTGCAAGCGGCGTGCACCTCCGGGGTCCTGCATCAACTGCCCCAACACACCGTAGGCAGGCGAATCCTGCATGTTCTACGAGAGGAAACGACACGAGGGCGTGAGAATGAGGAGTGCAAAGAGGAGGAAGGAGGAGAGAGGAAGAGGAGGATGGGAAAGTACACGACAGTCGCGCATATTCGAGGCAGCAAACACACACACACACATCACATAAATCACACACAACACAACCCACGCACCATGAGGCTGTGTACATGCCCTGGCAGTGGGGCTCGTCGACGGCGGCCGCCGGGGTGCCAATCATCTGCACAAACGCCCGCACAATCTTCACCGGGCACTCAGGCGCGGTCACGCGTGGATGTTGCCGACTGAAGCAACAACAAAAGGAAGGAGAGGGAGGTGCAGGAAGCAATGGGGGAGGGGACGTGGGTCAGTCGGGAACAAGAACGACAGGCGGCAGAGCACACCACCGACACATGCAGCACGACCAGGCCATGCACACACACACATAGACACACACACACACACACACACACACACAAACACACACAAAACACAGTCGTAGCACTCACGCTTGGGGGACCTCGACGAGGTATGTGAAGATGTACTTTGTTTCATCGTCGTCTTCTGTAATAGACAGCCAGTCAAGCAGATGCGTCAGCATCTCGTCTGTGCAAGGGTTGGTGGTAGATGGGTGGATGAGGAGGTAAAGAATAAGCGACGACAACGTGACAACAAGAGCAAACAACCAACGCAAAAGGACGGCGAAGAAGGAGTGTACCAATGCGCACACACAGACACACACACACACACACACATATGCACACCTCTGAGAGGCCGTGTGCTGGGTTGCGTCCAACCTTGACAAAGACGGAGATGCAGTTCTCGGTCGCGCTGGAGTTGGGCGATTCGCGGGAGCCGGGCACCCTGGATCACAGCGAGCAGCGACTCAACAGCCTGAACGCGGCAGGACGACAAGGGGTGGCGGTGAGGCTTGGCAAGCCGAAAGTGGAGAAAGGAGGGAAACGACGAAACGACATGTTCACACATGATCATTAACACACACACACACACACACACACACACACACACACACAGACACACACATACACACACACACTCTTGCCCTCTTGACCTTGAGCGCACCTTGTGTGGATGTACGTGGGTTGTGGATCCTCCTCCTCAATCTGGGCGGCGCTGGCTTGCATAATGCGCATGAGTTCGCGGTGCACCCGGCGCAAACATGTCCTTGCAAACAAACACGCTCATTAGGCCGCGCAGCATGCGGTATTGCCTGTCGTTCGCGTGTTGGAGAAGGTTCTTCATAAACGGCACAGAATCGTTGTCGTAGTCCAAGAACCGCTCCTGTGCCACGTCGGCCAGCACACGCGTGCGAACCAGAAACACGGTGACCACCCCCTTGCTGCCGCTGCAACCAGTGAGGAGCGCAAGCACACCATCACCTCATCATCTGCCGCTGTTGTTGTCATGGCGTGCAGCACCACCACAACAACCGCCACAATCACGACCAATCCCTCTTCAAACAACGGTGTGGTGGTCCACGAGCCAACAGCATCCACCGCAGTGAGCTGCTTGAAACCGGCAGTGTGCAGTGACGGCTGTGGCCGCGGTGTGAGGCCTCGCTGGCAGGAGATGAGGTGGCGGAAAACAGCAGCAGTTGTGGTTGAAGCTGAGGTGATTGAGATGGTCAGGGAGAAGCACAGCTAGCAGCAGCGGAAACTGGTTGGCAAAAGGGCCTTGAGTGCACCGCCAGAACGCCGCGCAGGACAGCAAGCAGTGCAGCTGTTGCTGTGTCAATGTGGTGGGTTGACGATGGCGTGAACATGCATGCACACACACACACATACATGGCAGTGTCGGGGATGGTGATGATGACGTGGCAGGTTGAGGTGGGGCCACGTGCTGGCAGCACTCAATCACAGCAAAGGTGCAATGCCGGTGGCTGTCAGTGGCTGCCGTTGGTTGATGCGGCGTTGCGGTGACGATGTGTGTGGGTGGTTGGCTGCAGCAGCAGAGCATGCGTTGGGTCGGAATCGGTGTGTGCACGCGTGCAACGGGAGGGTGGGGGGAGCAAGATGCAGACGCCCTGCTGGGCGGGGGTGGTGTGACTTGCGTGGAGACAAAAAAGGAGAGAAGGGAGAACTGACGATGAGAAGCTGTCGTGCACGACGTGCCAGTGTAGCCCTGAATCAGCACATTGGGGGCGTTGAATGGTGTTGTGTTGACGAGGGGTGGTCGGTGTGCGTGGTTGTTTCGACATGGGGGAGGGGCAACGAGTGCAAATGAATTCAATCACACACACACACACATACACACACACACACACACACACACACACACACACACACACACACACACCCCTCTTGTGTGGCGCTGGGACCGATGCCTGCTGGTGCGTGTCAACCAGCAGTGCTGTGGTGTCAGTCATGGCGGCATGGAAGCGGAAGTGTGGTGGTGGGATCCTTCACCTCAGTGCACATTCCAGCCACCACGCTGGAGACCACGAGCTGGCTCACTGTCTCCATGCCCGTGCATGGCACCGACCACCGTCTGACAGCGGTGATGACAATGTCAGAGGTCTGCTCTGAAGCAAGCACACATCGTGACAGGGGTAAAGGAGAGAGTATGTGTGGGGGAGTGTGGGGTGTGATTGACGAGGGGAGGTGGTTGACAAGAACAAAGACGTGCTGAGGGGATAAGTGGGGGAGGAGGAGTGCAAACTGTGGTGTGCATGTCGCGTCACACAGCGCATTGAGGTGCAGTGCACTGGAATGGAAATCCCAGGCAACACCCCTCCCACGCCATCAGCCATGCACATACCAAGACAGAGCGAGAGAGAAGAAAGTGCCTCTTGTTGTCGTTGCACACGGTGATGGCACGCGCTCAAGGACACGGTGCTGTCATTCAAGCCACCATCATCATCCTCAACGTCAGCCTGCAAAACAGGTGGTGGAGGTGGAGATGAAGACGCGCAGCGTTGCAGCCAAAAGCAAAGGGGGAGGTGGGAGGCATGTGACTTGAGACGTGTGAGTGAGGGGGGGGGGAAGTGGAGAAGAGAGGGTGTGCAGAGAGCAGGTAAAGCAAGGGGTGTGCAAGGGAAAGAAAGGGAGAGTGGACTGCGAGGCAGGGAGGAACAGTGTAAAAGAAGCAGAGCTGTGAGTACAACACACACGCACGCACCACGTGGTGGGCGTGTCGCTCGTCCAAGCGGAGTGAATGAATACATGTCCCTTTGTTTGGCTCGCTTGTCTGCTTGCTCGTCTGCTTGATTGCTTGATTGATGGATTGCATGTGTCATTGTCATCATCATCAATATCCCCCCGCTGCTCCCTGCTGCTGCTGTTGTTGTTGTGGTTGTGGCTGAGTATGTGACCAAACCACCACCAACCACCACCACCACGCACCTCCCCATCCATCCCTTTTCCTTTCGTCGCAGCGAATGCAGCGTGTGTGTGTGTGTGTGTGTGTGTGTGTGTGTGTGTGTGTGTGTGTGTGTGTGTGTGCGTGTGTGTGTGTGTGTGTGTGTGTGTGTGTGTGTGTGCGTGTGTGCGTTGCGCGCAACCAGCCACGACAAACGGCTGTTGTTCGTGTTTGTGCAGAAGCAGACGGGAAAAGCTGAAATCTGTCAGCGGAAATTCCCGATGACATGTTTGTGTGTATGAGTGAGTGTGAACGAATGCGTTGTCTTGACGTGTGGGAACACCATGATTTCACCATGGTCTGACTTTGTGAAAGACCCTCTTTGTTTGTCCCTCTATCAGGTGATCTCCTGATACACAATGTGTGAATGTACACGTGTCACTTTAATAGTGTATACGTGTACCCTCTTCCTCTATCATATGCGTGATATGTACTGCATGGTGTTCATTCTCTTCTGTCCCCGATTCCAACGACACCACTGCGTGGGTTGTCTACCAAGGTTTACTTCAGCTGTGAAAGCTCTCAATACAAGTCTCAGGGAAAACGCTGAGGAACAATCTTGTCAGATTATGAGACCTGGCGGCGACACCAACTGCGAGCAACACTGAGGCCGAGACAGCATCGTGACCAGGAAGCACGAAAACGCTGAGGAACAATCTTGTCAGATTATGAGACCTGGATCAGCACGACACCAGCACTTACTCCCCAACAGCAAGCAGATCAACGTTGCTTACCTTGATGGCGTCAACCACAGCTCCACTGATGGTGATGGACGTGACCACTGCGTTCCTTCACGCCGACCTGCCAAGAGATGTGCATGTGAAGATCAGAGGAGAGGTTTTCAGGTTGCACAAGGCCCTCTACGGCCTCAAGGACAGCCCACGTCTGTTCCACCAGCACATCCACTCCATCCTCACACGACTCAGCTGGCAAGCCACCATCACCGACCCTTGTCTCTACACCCGTCAACATCAGCAGCACGGACAAACGTACCTCATGGTGTATGTCGACGATCTTCTCTACGTGGGGGGTGGACAAAAAGAAGTCGTCGAGGAACTACGTCCACACCTGCAGATTAAACACAAGCAAGGACAGCAGCATGACTACCTTGGCATTCGCATTACGCGCACAACAACATCAGCAGCAACCACGACTTCAACCACAACCACCATTTCTCTTACGCCGTATCTATCAGCCATCGCCGGTATCGGGCCTTTCCGGGTGTCGACACCGATCACGATCGACCACGGCAGGCAGATACAGGGGGGTGGGAAAGAAGGAGCGATGGTGAGCGGTGGTGGACGCGCGGACAACAAGGAGCAGACACGTCAGCAACAGCTACCGCTGACCCAGCAGAAACAGCACAAGCACAGACTCAAGGAGTACCAGCAGGTGCTCGGCACGTTGACATACGCCGCCTCGACAGCACGCCCTGATCTAGCATACGCAGCGTCTGTGCTGGCAAGCAAAATAGGACACGTGAGCACACACGACGTGCAGATGGCACGCAGAGCACTGCAGTATGCGAAGAGCCACAACAACATCCTCACCACCACCGTCGAACACACGACCGGTGCGGCTGCATGCGGTTATTACACGACAGCACAATTGTCTGACCTAGAAAAAGGTCAACAGTTTCCGACAGCACAAATTGTGACCTACGTCGATGCCTCCTTTGCCATGGACGCGGGCCGGCGCTCGCGCTCCGGCATCGTCATCTGCGTCAACAACATGCCTGTGTATTGGCGCTCCAGCAAGCAGACGATCACGGCACTCTCCGCAGCAGAAGCTGAATACTCTGCTATCACCGAGGGCATCAAGCACACCATTCACGTGAGAGACCAGCTTGACGAAATGATGATCAAGCACAGCACTCCAGTCATCCTCACCGATTCGATGTCTGCCATACACATGGCAAACTCCGACAAGATTCAGGAACGCACCAAGCACTTGGGCATACGCATGCAGTTCACACGCGACCACGTACGGAAGCAGACCGTCGAGCTGCAGCACGTGCCCTCTGGTGACCAAGTCGCTGACATGCTGACCAAACCCTTGCACAAGGGTGCGTTCCACCGACTGGTGCAGAAGATTATGCATCACGAATGAACCAACCACCACGATCAAGATTCTCCCAAGGCGCATCCATTCAGGAGGGTGTGTCAGCGGAAATTCCCGATGACATGTTTGTGTGTATGAGTGAGTGTGAACGAATGCGTTGTCTTGACGTGTGGGAACACCATGATTTCACCATGGTCTGACTTTGTGAAAGACCCTCTTTGTTTGTCCCTCTATCAGGTGATCTCCTGATACACAATGTGTGAATGTACACGTGTCACTTTAATAGTGTATACGTGTACCCTCTTCCTCTATCATATGCGTGATATGTACTGCATGGTGTTCATTCTCTTCTGTCCCCGATTCCAACGACACCACTGCGTGGGTTGTCTACCAAGGTTTACTTCAGCTGTGAAAGCTCTCAATACAAGTCTCAGGGAAAACGCTGAGGAACAATCTTGTCAAAATCAGTCGATGACACGACTTGGTGCAGATGCAGCAGCTCAAACTCGCTTGTTGCTTGCTCTTCTTCTTGTGTTCTTCTTCTTCTTGCTCTCTTTGCTGCAGTGCACACAACGAGGCGAGGCAAGGCAAGGAAGGAAGGAGGGGGTGATGTGGCAGTCACCGCAACAGCAGCATGGGGAGAAGAGAGATGTGGGAGAGGGGAAGAGGAGATTGTTGGTGATCACTACCCAGTCACCAGCCAACAGCCAACCAGACCAATGTGGAAGAAAGGTCTCTGACACACACACACACACACACACACACACATACACACGAAGCAGGCGTCACGTCAACGATCCCCAGGTGAGCCAACACACATCATGCCCACTGTTCCTTCCTCGACTTCTTCTTCTTCTTCTTGGGCACTATTCGTTCGCTCCATGCGTCACGCAACCAAGTACGTGAACGTGGGACGCGGTGTCCTGTTTGTGGTGGCGGTGCTGTCGGTTGTTGCTGTTGCTGTCTTGTTGTGGGTGTGGGTGTGGACTCCCTTCTTTCCTTCTTCTTGTGGCACAAGGATGTGTGCAGGGGGCTGTGGGTCTGCTGAAAGTGGTGGTTTCGTCGTCGTCAGGTCGTCGTTGTTGTGCTTGGCTAACGTGAACATGTGTGCTGTTCTCTTGTGGTTGGACAAGGCAGTGGCCTGCAGAAACAATGCCCCTTAGAGTGCACTGGCAACACGTGCCGCTGACATACGCACACCACAAGGCAAGCGTGTTATTCACGGCCACCTGCGAGGTGGGTGCAATCACGCCTCCGCTCTGTGTGTGTTGTGCGTGTGTGTGTGTGTGTGTATCAGTGCACGGTGGTGATCCGATTTCCAAACCACAGTCCCTGCTGTCACTGCTGCTGTCTTGCTGCTGCTGGTGCTGCTGCTGTTGGCACGTGTGTTCTCACGGATGCATCGT